TTCAAAACGATAATTAATTATTGACTTAAATCAAGTAATATTACATATGCGGTGCAATTGCTGCGATGCGCCCTCTCGTGAGATCCTGAAAGGTGCGTTCCCCAAAGGGTTAAAGAACATATACATGCCATTAAAAGCAATTTGATATCATCATCATTGTAATACTGAAGGTTGTGAAATTTTAAAAGATAGTATCAAGAGTATTCTGACAGAAAATCAGTTAAAAAGAAGACTACAGGAACACCTAGAAATTCTGAAAATACAGGAAGACATTAGAATTAATAACAATGTGGGACTGAAGCTACACAATGGGTGGATTGACATTGTTTTTACATAACCTTGAAACAGATGCTGAACAGATGTGGGAGTCTAGTCACATCACATTGTAAAATGAATTGTAACAAGGCAGTTGACTTCACACAGTCTTATGGATCAGGTGTATTTGTTTTTGTTTAAAGTCTGGAAACCAATCATTTTAATAATAGTAAGTTCATTGTTAGTTTCTCTCTCTTTTGGTTTTTAATATAATTAACAATATTTATTATTAATAGTGAAACCGTCTACCAGAATTTGGAAAATGTAGGAGAAAATAAGACATTTACAGGTCCCAAATAATATGATATATCACATTGTCATTGTATTAAAAATTTTATACTCGATAGTTTTAAGTTTTTGGTATATGGGTTACATTAAAAATTGTAAATACAGTGCACTGTATATATTAGATATTCCTTTATATTGGTTAACTATTGGTGTTATAATTATTATGTTGTTACCATGTGTTTGTAAGCTGATGAGGGGTCCTTGTACCCAAAATGCATCCTTACCTAAATTTGAAATGCAATTATTAAAGACTAACTTTTTTGTAAAGTTCTGGTCCTTCTTTCTGTTGGCCTTGGTGTGATAAGCTCTCCAAATTGTTAAATCCTATTTATTGGGTTATCTAACTCTATCTAATTTATAGTCATGGACTAAAAGCGTCATTTATTATTATTAAAATTAGATTTATTAATACAATTCTAATTTTATTTCATTTAATCACAAATAAAATATCAAATACATGTAAATACACACATTATCCAACAAAAATTACTGGCATTTTAACCTTCAAAGAAAAATCTTGTAAAATTGACATAATTTGTTCATGTAAAGCTGGAAAATTGGGAAATTTTTTTTGCCAATTCTTAACAGTTGCATTCACTCTTCGTCGATTACTCTTATGATTTTCTCTGAATTCTGATTTCCAAATAATCATCTGTTTTCACATGGGAAAGAATTAAAACTTATATTGTGTTCTCATATAATTTTGGAATTCAATTCAAAAACTTTGCTTTTCCCATTGCTATTCATCTTTACTCCTGACAATACACAAGAACAATTCAAATAACCCAGATAAAATACTTTTGTTTTTGAACACCAGCAGATGAGAATCTGGTAAAAAATGCAAATACACAGTTTACAAAATTTATTGAAAAAACAAAAAAAACCTTTTGCTCACACATATAGGATGACCTAGGTTTTTGAAGCAGTGAAAAATGAATAAAAACCTTATCTTACATGCAAGTAAATACAGTACTGTATATTAAAACCAACTGATTGCTGAATTAGATTGGGCAATATTACTGATACTATTATTTGTTAAATGTCAAGTAATTTGGCCTAGAGGTAGGAGCAGTGGTGATATTCAGCGGGTTCGCACAGGTTCGGCCGAACCCGTTGTTAACATTTTCAAAGTTTTCCGAACCCGTTGTTAAACACACGTAACATTTCTCAGTGATTTTGTTTCTTTTAAAAAATATATTAAAATATACGTATTATACTCTGTAACACTACTAAACTAGAGCCTTATACCCTGTTCGCCTAGTGCAACCTCCATCGACCGTTTCAATCTCGACTAAAACGAGGTTCAATCGCGATCGACTCGAGAGAGTTCTCGAAACTAGATCCAGTCATAAGAGAGATCCCACAATCCCACGCGCGCGAGAAAATACAAGATGGCTGCGGAGCACGTGTCGGGCTATCAACAGCGAAATAAGAAAGATATTGTATTTCGAGAGACGATGACATCTGTCTATTATTATAATAATACCTAACGATAAAATAAATGATTTAGAAAAGTTTTTCTTGTTTAACTGCTTTCCCTATGACTTTTTCTGATTAAAAAAAAGCCAATTTTTATGTTTATAAAATATTTTGAATGAAAAATATTAAAATATGTACAAAATAAATCATTTTGAACACTCTTTTTTATTATTTATAAAAAAAAATATAGTTCTGGCATAAACAATGTTAAATTTTAATTGACTTAATTTTGCGAACACATCTTTTTTATTTATATGGGTATCTTAAGGTCAGTTTTATGCGCTAATGTTGCTAATGCACCATTTGAGCGAAAAAAAAATTGTTAAGGAAAAATTTTCTGTTAGCGAACCCTTTGTTAAATATTTCGAATATCACCACTGGGTAGGAGGAAGGTCCATCTCTTATCAAATTTAATAATTAAAGTTAATTTACAACATTCTGGAAGAATAGAATTGGCCAAAGTGGGACTCAAACCTGCAAATGCCACTTAACATGTAAATATGTTGCCAGTCATGCTACCCAAACCTCTGTCCAATCTCTATTTCCAAAACTATTAATTTAAATATAATTATTCTGGTCACTCACAGAGTCAACTGAGAATGACTTAATGACTCAGCCAGTTATTGCTTTACCTGGCATGTTGTATATATACAAATATAAACATCCTTAAGCCCTATAGTTAGGACAGAGATCAATATAGTGTAAATGGTAATGCATCTGCATGGTAAGAAGTAGATTCATTGCATTTACAATATCCCATGCTAAATTTTACAACTGTTATAACTAAATTGCACATCTATGCTAAGTAAGGACAGCTGTTAAAAATATAATTTGACTAAATTAGAAAAATAACTAAACAAAAGAAGCAATACACCTTGTATAATTCCAGAAATATATTTAATTAATCAAAAACATTTTTGTCCTACTTCCATAGGCCTTCTTCAGTTGAAACATCAAACTTAAATGAAAAATAATAATAGAAAGAACATTCAAAAAACATATTAAATGCAATGGAAATAATTTTTAATTAAAAAGATTGGGAAGAATGCTCTAAATCAATAAAATTATCTCAATTGCATTTAATAAGTTTTTTGAATGTTCTTTTTATTCTTTTTTCATTTAAGTTTGATGTTTGAACTGAAGAAGGCCTATGGAAGTAGGTCATAAACATATTTGGTTAATTAAATATATTGCTGGAGTTATACAAGATGTGCTACATCTTTCATTTGTTAAAAATAAGCAAAAACTTTCTGTTGAATCCAGTATAGCCTTTACTTATTAACCATGTCATCTGAGAAATGTGTGAAAGCAACAAAGTCTGAGAGGAAGATTTTAATATTGATGATTGAGATGAAAAAGGATCTTATCACAAAGCATGAAAACAGTACATATTTGGTGAATTTGGCAGACATGTTTAGGATACCAAAGTTGATGATCAGTAAATGCAATTTTCATTTTATTATACATTATTTACATATTTTATTTATTGTTTTCATGTTTTAATTTATTATTAGGACATTTAATTGTGTTATTTTTATTTTGCATTATGTGTAATAAGTTTATCAAAATGTATATTGTTTAGGGTCTGGGAATGAATTCACTTTCTCTGTCAACCAAGTATAACCCATTAAATCCAACATAATAATAACAAAAAAAAGTGCTGATAAAGTTTTATGTAAATGGAAACAAACTAGGCCTGTGGCTAATAATGTTTAAGGTATCAAATGTTGACTCCTTGTCAAAGTTTAAAGAGTCAACGTTTTACATTTGTACTTGATTGCATTTTTACACACAATTAAGTTATACAGGCTTTTAGCCTGTATATCTTAATTGTGTGTCCCTGTATAGTTTGTTACCTCAAGCAATTTTATGCTTACTCATAACATTTGACACCTTAAACTCTATTTCACTATGGTTTATTTCTTATTTAGGTAAAAATATATATTTTTTAAATTTATTCTTAACTATATTGAAATTTTATAATGGTTGATAGGAATTATAATTTTAATTAATATATATATATTAATTTGGTAAGTCTCAAATACTGTCCAGCTTCATTTGAGAGAATGATTGATGATACAAACATAGTTTAGGTATCAAAATAAAGCTCTTGCTCTGTAGATGATCCTGCCAAAGAGAGATTTGAGAAAAAAGCAATGGTACAGATGTGGCAGAGTGGGAAATGTACAATGTTAAGTGTACTGATATGCACTCATATGCCTTCTGGCAATTTAGCTTTTTTTTTTTTTAACCATTAGAAAAACCCTTTCCTCACTTCCTACTCTGAATTGTTGCCTATTTTTTTTTTTTTGCTAATTATGCATTAATTAAAATTTTTTGTATTATTTTTAACACATACTATCTATTTAAATAATAAAATAAAATTAAGAATCACTTTTATTTTGGAACTGAACTGTTTTAATGTTTTAGAATCTGTAATTAAAAAAGTATGTATTAGTAAAATAAACGCATGTACTTTTCAACACTAAAAAAACAATTAAAAAATTTTAGATAAATTAATTTTGTCAATGTTCATGCAGCAGCAATTGCTTAGTGCCACCCTGTGACCCAGATGTAAAATTGAAAGCTTTGTGGTATTGAAGAATGGATAAAGCCAATCACCCACAGACAGACACTGAAAACACTTGCTATAATAATGATTTTTGTGTAGAACCCCAAATTTTAAATGAGCTCATTGTATTTTAATTAATTGAATAAACCATTGATTTCAACAGGTGCCTGTTAGTATCCTATTAATTTTGGTAAGATTATTGACACTCGTTTGAAATTTTTAAGTTAATTAATATTTCTAAACTACTATACAATTTGTATCTAATAAATAATAATTGAATTTACTCAGAAATTAAATTAAAAATTAACATTTAGAAACAATTTGTTAAACTGTTTAGTATACTTACAGTTTGTTATAATTCCACCAATTGGATCCCCTTTAAAGTCGAATTCAATATCTATATACTTGCCCTAATTTTCAAATATAATTTATTAGTTTACAATATAAAATATGAACTGAATTATTTGCAATATAATTTTAAATAAAACTTTCTCATTTAGAAAATGTAATTTAATCTATTGCAGTTTTTTGAATTAAAATTTAAATGAAAAAAACAAAATAAATTATTTTTATTTCCAAATAGTTTTACTTCTTGATTGTGATTAATATATCTTGATGTGGTCTAAATCTGGCTAATTTTTCCAGACTTATCACACCTTGTAGATTAAGTGATGAAAATGGAGTCAGAGATCAGGTCCAAAAAATATACGCTTTTATTAACATTGGAAATACATTTCAGACTCTACCGTGCCATATCAGTCCAACCAGTTCACATAGATAACTTTGTCTGTATTATGTAATTTTAGTTAATTGTCAATTACATAATATTTAAATAATTATCAGACAGGTAAACTGTACCTATAAGCAGAAAATTCTGGCATATACATGAAGATAATATGATGATCCTGCTCTTAACAATTGTTACCCCAAAAATACCATGATTGATTAATAATTTAAATTTTATCTCAGGACATTAGTGATTTACATAAATCCATTTTGAAATACCCATCTATTAACTGATATATGCATACAAATTTATCATTTAATGTAAAAAAATTCTTTGCTCAACTAAAATTGAACAGAGAAATGATAATCTACTACAGTATATAAAGCTGAAAAACTGGGCATTTTCTGTCATGGTATGCCAAAAATGGCCACTAGGGGCACTCCTAACTATTATTTAAATTAATTTAAATTAACAATATAAATTATTTTATATTTATTTTATATTTTTACAGTATAATACTCAGTATATTATTATTTTTATTTGTAATTTAGTATGCCCCAAAGCCTGCATTGGGCCTTTCAACTTGTTATTGATAATATTATATATCAATTTTCTAAGCTTTCATGTCATAAATGTGGTGAGATTCTTTCTAAATTACACATGTTCTGTACTTGTAAAGAGGCTTATGATATACAAGAATGATAAAATCTCAGCAAGTTAGAACTTATAATCAACAAAAATTCCATGTATCTTTTTTTTCCATATCGCTAATTGTACTATAGTCTAATATATAATTTGTATAATTATGCAAAAAAATTTTTTGTAACAAATTAATAAGGTATCTTATTTTCTGGTTTTGTATTCAAGTTTAATAATTAACGAATCTGTGCTTATATTGATATTAATAGACAAAAGACAACTGTCATTTATAATTATTGTAACTTGTTTAATACATTATATGTACAATTATTGGGTTTTAATAATATAAACACCCTTATGTAACAGGATTTAGCCTATTTAAATAAAGATATTATTGAATTGAATTAATAATTTAAATTTTAAGAAAATTTTAATTGAATCTTTTAATCAACTGTACTTTTAACTCTTTTGTGAACTCTTTTTTACTTGTGTGTTACCACTGGTTTTCTTTTTCCTCTAAACATCTATTATTTAAAGAGATAAGAAAATTATATAATTGTTGGTTAAGATTAAGTTTGTTAAAAATTTTTTGGTTAATATGTCTAATGTTAAAATAGGAAAGCAGTTGTCGGTTAAATGATTCCATTGAAAACAGAATCATCATTTTACCTGTAATACTGTTAATTAGTACTATGTATAATTAAACTTTATACTTGTGCATTAAAAAACCAGCTGGACTTTTCTTCTTCAATCAGTTAATTCAGAAGTAAATCATATAAGTGTAAGCTAAAATTATTTGTAAGGAATTTTTTGTTAAAATTTTTATAAATATATTTAAATTAAATAGGTATATGTGCATTTTCATGGTAACAACTGTCATTAAGAGCAGGTTGTCATATTATCTTTATATATATACCAGAATTTACTGCTTATAGGTACAATTTACATGTTTGATAATTATTTAAATATTATGTACTTGACAATTAACTTTGTTTTATGTAATTTTAATTATCTATGGAAACTGGCTGGACTAATGAGAGAATGTAGAGTCCATAATGCATTTCCAATGTTAATAAAAGCATATATTTTTTGGACCTGATCTCTGACTCCGTTTCATCACTTGACCTACAAGGTGTGATAAGTCTGGAAAAATTAGCCAAATTTAGGGCATATCAAAATAAATTATTTTTAGATATAGTAGATATAGTATATGTCTTTTCAATCTGTATGGTTAACAAACGGTAGACTTTCTTTCAGCTTTGAGGTTAAGTATTCCTTTATTGTAAATTACATGTGCATTTCAGGCTTGTATGAGCCCCTCTTCAGTGTAAATTCTCAAATGGTTGGGGAGGGGCTCATACAAGCCTAAAATGCATATGTAATTTACAATAAAGGAATACTTAACCTCAGAGCTGAAAGAAAGTCTACCGTTTGTTAACCATACGGATTGAAAAGACATATACTAAATCTACGTATTTATCAGCTAGTATACCAGATTTTGTGAAGTAAATTATTTTTAATTTATCTGATATAATTCAAAATCTAAGAAATTCTAATTCTCAGAATATAGTAATTTATTCATACATTATTTTATTCATACATCTGTTCATAAGCACGGAATTGTTCTACGAGTTTGTTTTAATTTTTTTACACATAAATCTTTGTGAAGAAAACAAATTTAAACTGTGATTTGAAAAAACTATCAGTTTTTCTCATTATTAAATATTTCATTATTACTTCTGATTATTACTACTAGTACTTACTGACAAATCCTAAATACACTTTATACTAATAATTTTTTATTTTAAATTAAACAAACATAAATTTTCATAATGTAGGAAGAAAAAGAAAAAATTCCAAACTTTGTATTAATTTCACTGCTACATAGAAGATAACAAATGAAGTTTATTGAGGAAATATTTTGATCAAAATTCAAGAACATTATTAAAAATTAATGTTTACAATACTTTCTGAATAAACTGAGGTTGAAGGGTTTAAATTTAACATTTCAATTTTTTCACATAAATATCATTCTAAAAAATTTTTTTAAACGATAGGATATAAAAATTAAAAAATAAATATATAAAATAGAAATTTATATAATTTTAAAACATTATGTATTGTAAACAGGAAAAAGTAATTTACAAATACATTAAAAGCTTTTCATTAGACATTTAAAATAAATTATCAAGACAGTTTTTTAACAAAAAACTTAATCATAAAAATCTGAATGTGATTGCATATGACTTTTTATAATTAAATTTTTATACAACATTTTCAACAAAGAGAATATACAGTATATTGTATATTCTGGTTTTAATATAAAAAATAATAATCATTGTATATTAATATTGAATGATTAAACTGAAAAGTTTATAATTTTGACTGACACTTTAGCTGAATTAGGATGTAGGTCTTTAAATATATTTTATTCTATTTAGAGTAATTGTGTTTTTCATATACACAATTACTCTAAATCTTTAAATTTTAAAAATGAAACTTGTTCGAAAAACATTATGTTCTATTTTGGAACAATAATTGTATGTCTGAGGATGGCCTGTAATAAAGAGGTTGAAAATGTTTGAAATAAAATAATTTTATGCTCGACAAAAATTCAGGTGTGTTGTTATAATTAATTGCAATTGCTGAGAGAAAGGTAGATAATATTTTATTCTATTCAATTTCTATATTGAATCATAAATATTTTTTTCTAAGCTTTGTTTTCATGCTGTAGCATAACTTGCATAACATACCAATCAGCCCATTTGTTAACACTTTAATACCAAATTTTGAATTGCATTCAAGCCTTGCATTTAAATAATTTTTTGTGCACTAGTTGATTTCTGTTCTCTGAATTTTTGTAAGTGCTTTTCTGAACTTTTTATTTAAAAAAGAAACTAATAATATTATGGAGTCTAAAAAGAGTGGAGTGTGAAGAACTGTGCTCACTGTAGAAACCAATAATAGCCAAGGTAGAAAGTGGACAGATGATATCTGATGTTGTTAGGCAGTATGGCTTGAACAGGTCTACAGTAGACAATCTTAGCTATGAAAGATATATCAAGAAGTCTCAAGCAGCTAAAGGACTAATAAAAATCACATCTGAAAAATAAAGAGCATTGAAGAGCTCATAATGGAATTGTTCTATGAGTTTCTGTTTTACTGATGTGACGACAGAAGAACTCCAAGAACTCTTAAATGAAGAACACCATGAAATTCAGCAATTTGTGTTTTCTTCTAAAAAAGAAGAAGACAAAAGAAGACCAATGCTGACATCTGCAATGTAGGGCAGAGGGTGCCACTGCGTGACCTTCATCCTCTGTCCTCACTTTGCTCCTGTACTCTGATGAAGAGAGACAGCTTTTCACTTTACGTTAGTTAACCTTTTGGAGTTGGGAGCTGTGCTGATCTTGGACTTGTATTATATCTCGATAGTATTGTAAATATCGTATGGCAGAATCAAATAAAGTAAATTAGTCGCCTGGATCAGTTTCTCAGTTAATGTTTGCCGACGAACAAAGGACACAGAACACATGGTCAAGGTCAATGTGGACACCACGGACAAGGTAGGATGCAACCAAGACCAATTCTGCCTAGCATCGAAATGTGCCACATACAGATTTTGGTCATGCCACTAAAGCTATTAAAGATCTTTTGAAGAAGTGGGAGGATGTCAGAACAATGGTCATCCAAATGGCATCAAAACCAGAATGAGGTAAATAGGCTTGGGGATCTCTACAATTACAATGCTATTGATTACTTCCAAAAAATCCTGAAGAGAGAAAGCCTTGGACAGATTCTTTAACCCCCATGAATGGAAAAGAACATGACTAATAAAAATGCAAGACTGTATATATATGTATTTTTATTATTACATATAAATAAATGTAGTAAAAAAGAATATAATTTTTATTTTTAGGGGTCTCCAGAACGAATTAATCAAATTCCCATAAAAACCTATAGTAAATTGATAATCAGTTAACGAACAATTCGGATAGCAAACAAAGTCTTGGAACAGATTATGTTCGTTAACTGATCACCTGC